TGTGTGTGTGTGTGTGTGTGTGTGTGTGTGTGTGTGTGTGTGTGTGTGTGTAGAGTATACACACACACACACATATTTTATATAGTGCTACATAATGCTGATTTATCACATACACCACTGGAATTTGAAAATGAATATGTGTGTGTGTGTGTGTGTGTGTGTGTGTGTGTGTGGAGACTACAGATCTGTAAGAACAGATGCTTCTTGTTTGACTCCTGGTATTGATGATGAATGGGCCTGTAGGGGTTTGGGGGCTGATTGATTGGCAGATTGATTAGGCAGTCATTTTGTCCAGGACGAAGACATTGATTGTCTGCTTGCAGGGTTTTAGGTGGGTTGCAGGGTTCATAAGAGAGGAGGGGCAAACAAGTGACCCGTCAGCAACACACTGAACACACCGGAGGAACTGCAGGTGTCCCTGATCTCATGCACTGCTGCATTATTCTGTGTTTTTCTGATTATTGTTGCACTTCTGAGACACTTTTCCTCTTTAGTTTCAAGCACTTAGCAGCTTTTACACTAAACAYATGCCATCATCGTTACATGTCCACACAATATTGGACCAGAGAGGCTGACTCATCTGTGTCGATATCAGTTTTCATGTTCGGCTGGAGATGGAGCCAATGTTTCCACGTTGTAAACATCTACTTGTGTTATTGATCTCAGGCTTTTGTTTTTGCTTATGTCAGTAAAATCACACAGTTGGTTTGTGAAGACACAGTTGAGCAGGTCGCAGTCGTATTCGGTTCAGGTCTGGACCAAATCAATCAGTCTGGCTGACAGCGTGGCTTTTTTTTCCTTCTTCTTTTCTTTCTTGGTTTTGGACTCCATGTGGTTGGCCTTTGATTTAGAAAAGGTCTCTCTAATTAGACCAAGTGCAAACTTGTTATTTTTAGCAGAATTTGATGTGTGCTTAAACATCAGCCTTCATCTCTGTCTGACCTGCAGATTTGTCCTGTCTTCAGTCTCAAGTGTCGTTTTTATTAATTACAGTCACTGCTTCATTTTAGATCTTCTGAGCTTCTACATTTGCAACCTTGTGTCTTTTTTTAAGTTTTATATTTGCTTCAGTCAAAACTTTGTAGGAGAGCCGATGCATCCTCATTAGTGTTCTTTCAAAATTTCATCCATTTAAAACGTATTGAAACATTGAAATTTTACAGTGATATGTGCATCTAGTAGGGGTTCAACGATACAGGAAATTCACGGTTCGGTTCGGTTCGATATTTTA